GTCGGACTGGGTCCCGCCCATGCCCACCCCGCAAGGCCGCCCGGTGGGGCTCGGTGGGCGCGCTCGTGAGTACAAACACGGGTGCCCCTCCGGATTGCGAACAGCTTCTTCAAAAGTAATTTTGACTTACATTGCAGGGCAGTGACACTGGAGCCAGGAGGAAGTAGAGGCACAAAGCGCTTTTTAGGTCTGTTAGTTCGTTGTGTTTTTTAGACGAGTCACGTGAGTGTAGCCCTCTGCATTTTGGAGTTTTCCGGTCCATTTTCCTCTGTTCTATCTAAAATTTTATTGGCGAGCTGGGCGTGTGTTTTTAGCTCTTTATTTGCGTGCCTTCTCCACCTCCCATTTCCCACCCCCCAGAGCCCTGTGAAGTGGACAGGGGAAAAGTGCTGTCTTAACTGCAACAGGCACAGAAATTGAAGCCCAGACAAATTGTGATTTCCTCCAAAATCTGGTGGAATGCTTAAGGCAAAGTCCGTATCCCAATTTTATAGATTATGACTCTGAGGCTCAACAAAGAGTTTTAAAAGAGTTTTAAATGACTCATTACAGCACTGTCAGCTTGTGACAGAGTTGGAACTACAACTGTGTTTCCTAATTTCTTTCCCAAGTTATTCCAGTCAGACCAGCTGCTACCACCTGAATAAGCAGGTGGCTGGCTTTTAAGCCCTATCCTGGTCACAGGTCCTCCCCTCTGGTTGGCCTAACTTCCAGACCCAGCCTTTTTTTTTAATATGCGTCTGTGAATATTCAGATAACCTGTTTGGAATGTATCACTTCATGGTATTGTCCTCAGAAATTGTCAAGATGTTCAAACCACAGTTAAGGAAACTCAGTTCTTAGGGTCTTCCGGTGGAGTGGGAGTGGAGCTAGAAATTGTGGACCAGGGAAGATAAGGGGCCTATGGCCTCTAAGAAAGCCGTGAAAGTCAATATCTAAAATAAAGCACCAAATCTGCCAAGCAATTTGGATTTTTTGGGGGGGCATAATGGGTGCTGATGTTTGTTTACAATTAGCCCTAGGAATGAAGTGTTATCAAATTTTAATTCTAAGGAGAAAAATTAAAGTATAGTCAATGCCATGGGAAAAGGTTCTTTATGCAAGGGTCAAGTAAATAAAATCTTCTAAAGCAAAGTCATTTGTGTTAAGTTCCGAAAAAACTACCTCAAGTACAATAGGAAGGAGTCTGTTTGGACTTGGCTAAGTTGTTATATGTATGTTTGCTGTAAGTTAGGTGTGTCAAAGTAGAAGAATAAGACATTTTAATCTAACAGTTGTTTACCTTGATTTATAATCTTTAAATATTTAAACATATGGTGTGTGGACCTCTGTTTGTACACTGGGTCATGAAGTTGTTAGGGGCAGGCCTGCTATTACTAGCCAACATTTTCCTGAGGTCCTAACTGAACCCAATAAGGCAAAACAAAGCAAAACAGTAAGTATGTATATTGGGAAGAAAATGAAAAAAAATTTTTTTCAGGTATTATGATTGATTTCTTGGTGAATCCAGGGGAATGAATTGAAACAAGTTCTTTAAGGTGGCTAGAGAAATAGCTGTCCTAAACAGCAATCACCAATTTAAAAGTGTAGTCAGAGAAACGATCATATTCAAAAATAACAAAATCAAGTTTGTGTTTATGAGGAATTATAAAACTTATTTGAAGAACTGAGAATAATAACTAGATGGAGGATGGGGTGAAGGGAGGGATTACAAAGGGGCATAAGGAAATTTTGGAGGTGACAGAAATGTTCATTATCTTGATTGTGGTGCTAGTTGCATAAACGTATATGTATGTCAAAACTTACCAAATTGTGCGCCTTAAATATGTGCTTAAGTACTTATTGTATCAATTATATCTGAAAAAGCTGTTTTAAGAGGTGGAGGAGGGGAGAACTAACTTTTTATTGAGTGTACTTGATGTGCTAACCATGTGGTTTGGTACTTTACATACAATCCTGATGGCAACCCCAAAAGTAGTTATCCCGTCATTCACATTTTACAAACTAGGAAATGAGGCATAGAGAGTCACTTGTCCAATGTCAAAGTCTCATATACTAAATAACAGAAGTAAGACTCACATTTTATTTAACAACAGTATTTGCACTTTAACCTCATCTCCATATTTCCATAAAGGACGTAAATGAAGACCTGAATATATAGAAAAACAATACACTTTTTTCCTGGAAAAATACCCTTTTTTTCCTGTCAATTTCCCCCAACTTAATATAAAAATTTAGCAAAATTCCTATCAAAATTCCATTTTGATTTCTGTAATGATAGAACTTTTTTAAAACATTTTTTAAAAATCCCAATTGATTTTGCAACTATTTCTCTCTCTTCTTGGAATGCCATTTTTGTATACTTTCTTCCATCTCTTTCTTCCCACTTCAGAGTAAAGAAATTACTCTTTGTTCCTTAGGACTCAAAAGTCATCTCCTCTACGAAGCATTCCCCAACCTCTCAAGTCTTTGTTTGTTGTCCTCTTACATGCTACTATAGCAATCTATGATTATCCCTATAATACTACTTATCATACTTAGTAGAATCTCTCATCTTCTTGTTTGTCTCCCCACTAGAAGTTTCTTGAGGAAAAGTATATATTATTATTGCTTAGAACCTAGCACAGATCCTGGAAAATAATACATATTCACTACATGAATTAAGAAATAATTTTTTGGTATCATAGAACAAGTATATAGATAAAATGATCAAATTCAAATTTGGCATAATAGTATGGACCTGATATGTTATCCTCCCAGTCAATTCTTTTTCTGGGAACTGCTTCTCCCTTCCAGATCTGAATGCTAGCAGTTATGAACCTCTGGCAGTCATTTTGTACAAGCATGAGCTCATACCCTTGACCATAGTGAATTAGTCCAGGAACAGACACCTGACTCCAGCTGGAACAATGAAATACCTTTCCAGGAATTTGAGTTTGGAGGTAAGATTCTAACTGGTGTCTAGCTGGTTTACTGAATAGAGGAGATGGTGACAACTGAGCCCTTAGTGGCCATGTCTTAGTCAGTTTGGATTTCTCTGACAGAATACTGTGGACTGGCTGGCTTAAACAACAGAAATTTATTTCTCATAGTTCTGAAAACTGGAAGTCCAAGATCATTTTGCCAACATGGTTGAGTTCTGGTGAGGGTCCCCTTTCAGGTTGCAGTCTGCCAACTTCTCATTGTATCCTCACAGGGCAGAAAAAGAAAGAGCTCTCTGAGGTCTAATTTAAAGGACACTAATTCCACTCATAAGAATTGTACCCTTATGACCTAATTACCTCCCAAAGGCCTACTTCCTAATACCATCACATTGGGGGTTGGGATTTCAACATATGGATTGGGGTGGAGGGGCATTTAGTCCATGGCATCATGTCTTTCACTGTATAGACTAGCAAATCAGGGAAGGTTATGCTATGCATAGATCCCATTTACAAGTGTAGAGGGGTGAATATATGTATATCCATCCTAGGCCATTATATCTTTAAAAAGTTTTTTGTTTGTTTGTTTTTGCTGTAGGTCATGTTAAAAAAGTTTTTAAGCCACTACCTTTACTAGGTTATTTTTCTAGCCATAATTATTATTGAAATATTTATTGCAGTTCTGAATGCATTTTATATTTTTGTATATTCTATCATTCCAATCATCTTCTTAACTGAGACAGAGAAAAGTTAAAAATAAAGTGATAATGGTAGTTATCTATGTGATGGGATTAACATGGGGTGCTTTCTGGAGAGCTGTGAGTGTTCTATATATTGATCTGGGGTGATTACACATGTAAAAATTTATCAAGTTGTACACTTAAGATTGTACATGTAAGTTTACCTCAATTTAAAAAAATAGCTGGCAACTCCTGATTTAAAGCAAGTAAAAGTCTTAATAATCAAGGAATAGATACTTCTTTAATATTATTCTCTCTATTTTACCTCTCTTTGAAATAGTGATGAGATAGCAGCAGTAATCCCTACCCTTTTAAAGCCCTTGACCACTTTGAAAATGTAAGAAAATGGCATGAAGAGATAAGAGAGAGAAAGGAGGGGAAAAGAGTGGTTAGATAACAAAAAGTTGGGGGCACATTCAAATGCCTGATTCTAGTTCACTCCTGAGGCTTACCTACACTCTACATTGAAGAGCTGGTTACACCCCGAGGTCCAACTCCTCCTTTTGCTTTAATTGCTTTAACTATCTCAGGTGAACTTTTCAACCGAGAGAGTTCTAACTGTGGTAGGCACAAAATCCCGTTTATTTTTACTATCTTATGGTACCATATTCAGTTTGTGAATTCATTAACTTTAGTACTTAAACCTTGCCAGCACACACACCATCACCAACCAATCTGTTCATATATATATTGAGGCTATAGAGACCTTACATCAAACCAAAGAGACCTTATATTCAACACAATAGGCAAACATGAAATAAGTATTCTCCACTTACCTCCCATTCACCACTTAGGAATTTGATAATTATTTAGCTTGTACAGTGGCTTAAATGTTCAGGCATCTACTTTTAAACTTCTTTCTCTTTTTTTCCTTCTCTTTTCTTTTTATTCTTTATATTAGCTAGTTTAGTAATTCTTAAAACTTCATGGGCCTAAGAATTATTGCATAAGGCAGTATTTATAAAACCATTCTTAATGGACCTCATGGGCAATTTAAGGAATTTTCAAGGGTAATTTTAACTGTGTAATTTTTGCTTTATTTTCTGATGCTAATTCCTCTTCTCCACATTCCTTCCCATCCCAACTCACCCCCAAAGATGCAACTTTATACTATGCTTGCAACTCAAACAGTAAACATACGTAGCATTAAAATGATATTAAATGTTAATTTTACTTTGGTAGTGTACAGGGCACCTTGCACTTTGTAGTACCTTCGTTATTATCATCATTAATGTCAGGTAATATCCTATGATAGATGTACAGACATAC